AGGCCAGGTAGGATGATATTTCTAGTTTTCCCTTTTAAATTTGGTACACCTATGTGACCCTCTCCATACAGAGAATTGAACATTTAGGAGAGTTTAAGTACCTGGGAGAGGAGTCCTTATTATAAACTGAGACTGGTATATTACCAACAGTTAAGTCATTATTAAATATCAATATTTTCTTGAGATATTATGTGATGTTATTGTTTGATGAGAGGAAGTTACATGCAGGCGATAAATCCAATCTTTAATAATTTTTTATCATGAGTTTGTTATTTTTGTCAAAGAATTTATCTGACTACACGTGGCTCTCTTGAATGTTACTGTATAGGAGGTGATGAAAGTCTTAAAGCAGCCTTTTCTTTTGCTGGAGTGGGATCCTTCAGTAAAGACTGTGTCGCAGGTTACAACTGGCAATAATCAGGACGTTGTGTCAGTTTCTTTTAACTGCAGCAGTTTTTTAGCAAGAGCTGTGCTTCAGTTGAGGGAAATGTTTGGTGGAGAGACAAAAGCAGTTTATTCAAGGCAAGTAAATTCTGAAAGTTTCAGTATCCTTTTATGTACAGGTGAATGTAGTCTGTAACTGAAAAAGATTCTTGACTTGTAATCAGCTTGCTATTGTGTCAACTTTTTCCTCACAAGATCTGATTGTGAATTCTCCCTTCTTGCGTCTACGAATTTCCTTATAAATTAATTGCAATAATTTGGTGTTTGATCAAGGTATCAACTTCTACTGGATAAGTCTGAGTATTCTCATTACCTGTTTGCTGGATAATTTATGGATATTTTAAGGAGGAATAATATTTTGCCACTTATGGGAGTTAAAGGGCTAAATGATCTCATGATCTTTCTGTTTGTCATTTTTAATTTATGTTTAATATATATCATAGGCACTGGGATACAGACTTGAAAACAAAGTCTGAAGCATGGTTTGTTAGCTCATTTGTTGAACAAGTCATTCCAGCAGAAGGCTCCTTGTTGTCATGCTTCTTGGTGTCATCTATGGACAATGGTAAGATGTCAATAATAAAATTAACCTTTCCACATATAACTGATGTGTATATTGTAAGAGACATGGTGGTTTTTACATTTAGGCACACTGAACTCTGTGAGAAGGAGTCCTGGGTTCAACCCTAGCCTGGGTTATTGAGTTATTTTTCTGGGTGCCGGACACTTTACCCTGATGAGATCTCTTTCCATCCAGGAGTTATATAAATGGGTAATGCCAAATTGTCATGGAATCTTGACAAAATGCAAGACATCTTACTCGACTTCTTTGATTGTGCAAATTCATGACATAAAGGAACCAAATAGATTTGAAATTAGTCGTGACTGTTGTGATTCATTTCAACAATTCTTTTGTTTTCAGGAGATGATGAGCCAAGTGAAAGTCTAGTCTCCTTAATTGTGGCACCTGTATCAGAACGTTTTGCATCAATACCACAATTGACAGTATCTCGCATAGCAGGACTACAGGATTTCTTTACTCATTACAAACCTGATCAGTCTCATGCTAATTCTGTTGGATCAGAACCCAGCAACATAAGTTTGTCTGGGAGTGACAATCATGTCACACATCTAGAATCCATTAACCAAACAGGTGAGTCATGTCAGTAGTGTTTACAATAATATCTGTGTGAACTGATTGTGATTTATATACTATTCCAGGATTAAACATGAATGGTCTCATGTGACAAAGGTGGTTTAATGCAATTATTGAGTGGTCTCATGTCAGACAAAGGGATAAGTTCACTTCATGCCATTTGATCACTTAAAAAGTAGTATCTTGTCAGAACTGATAAACTTATAGAGCCCTACTAACAACACAGTTATAGTATGTAATCACAGTATTTTTAAATGCATTAAGCTTAGGTGACATGTAAAGTACTGATAAACAGTTCTTGTGTTCTCTTAGCATCAGGATTATGTAATGACACCGATAAAATGATGAAAAATGTTGCCTTTTTCTTTACACAAGTGCTGACAATTAATACATTGTTTAACTATTATTGAGAGTGGCAGTCTCAATGATCTGTGCGTCCACACTAATGAGCACAAGATTGAATAATTCAGTCAGTTGCACCTTCTGCCAGGTGTCCTTAGGATGGGAAACTCTTTCAGTTTTCAAAAGCTTCAGTATGACATATGGTTAACATGTGTATTTTAAGACACATCTTGGTGTGGATGTATGGTAAATGGTGCAGTTTACATTTACACTTAATTTGACTCCTGTTGGCCAGGGTAAAGAATATCATAAATTATGTGTCACCATTTAAATTAGGATCTAAACATGCACCCAGAGGTTTGCTTTGATTGTATTGAAGTTTTAATTAATTCCTAGTGACTGTTATGAGATAGCTAATTAGTGACACCACTGAGGTCATTAAAATTTCATCTACTTAAGGCCAGACTTTCTTCTTCCAGGTGTTGGTGATTTACTGGGTGGAGCAGTAGACCTGACTGATGATAACAAAATGATAAAAAGGGTATGTGACTAAACAAGGTAACATGTCATGTCATGATACAGTATAGACCCACTTCTCCCTCATGCCTGTCGCATGTATCAGTGCTAGTTCACCACAGTTGGTGTCAGCACCAGTGCTGTAGTCTGTTCATTTTCTCATGAAATAACACAGCATGAGATTCATGACACCAAAGGACAATTACTTGTCATGTTATCATTTTTAGCAACTAGTGGACTTGAGCAGGTAGGACATGTCTAATTTCTGTCTTGAGATGGCGAGATATAAAGACAGATTTGTAAATGTGACACAAAAAGAATGAGTCATTAGGGTTAAGGAACTAAATATAAATCTTTCTTGCACCCTCATTGTAATAGAAGTTTTCCTTTCAACATTAAATAGTAATGTCACATTTAATGGTGTGATTGTGATGTAATTTTGTTAAGTTAATAAACTGGAGAAGCTTTAATTAGTTTTTTTCAATTTTGTAAAACTTGCTCATCATGTTCTTTTTCTTCTGAAAAATTTAACAGGGAAAAGAAAGTGTTGGTAGTGATTCACATCTTCCAGAATTCCTCAGAAGGTGATAATCCTTTTTCATTTTCATTTTGAAGGGAGTGTTTAGTAAATAGTTGAAACAAAAGAGAGATTTAATTTGAGTTATAATCTTGATGATACATTTAAGCTCAATGTAGAGAGTCAAAGAGGAAATGTACAATCCTGTGCACTTAAATCTATTTTAAGTTTTAAGAAATGTCTCGGAAACCCTCCCACACAGGTTTTTTTTCAATGTGTTCCTCTGATTTCAACCTCAACACCCCTTCAACTCCCCTCCCTGGGGACTTCAGTGCTGTCTCATATATTCCTTTACAACACTGTCCTGTGGAGCAGGTGTAATTTTGGTGAGCAAGAGCTCAGTATTTTCTTGACAAAAAATTAGGGCCACCATCTTTGCTTTTAATGGGAAATAAACTTGTACCAAGGGGGGGGGGGGGGTTTGGAGGTAGTGTCTTTAGGCAAGCATCTTTTTGCTCTTCCCCTTCCCCCTGCACCTACCACCCACTCTAACTTCAAATCAAACTTGGCTGGGTGGATAAACAATGGCAAGCTTGTAAGGTTAGCTAGCACTAATAAGACACCTGCCCTGCAGGCTATTACAACACTTTTGTCTATGAATCCTCCACACCACCTCTCTTCAAAAGTTGACATAAATCTTAGTCATACTCTTTCTTTAACATACTTGTTGTGGTTTTGTAAACTTTTATCAAAAACCACACAAAAATTTCCACCACACTATTTTCACAAATTGCTTTTAGAATTACTCATTAATTTAAATAGAATGATATATCTTTTTATTATCGGGAATTCTTGAATGTGAATTTTCAAAGATTGAGTCTGCTATCACTTTTTAATTCTTTAAATAATCAATTCTTTGAATAATTTGATGAAATTTGTCTTATTTTCCTGTGCCAGTGAGAGTTTGGAGGGAATGCTCCAAAAAGTGATGGACATCTACCAGGCCACTGAAGGAACTGACAACTGGACTTCCCAAGGAAATACAAAGTATGTTGGAAACTGTTTTGATTGATGTGCACATGCCATAGTATACAACACATTCAAGTGTGGTACCATCTTCTAAGGAGTTAAATTGCATAAAAATGGTTGATTTCAGTTAAAATTAAATGACAGGTGTTCAAGTGTCCTTTGTACAGATCTGTCTGTTTTGGAGAGGATAGGATATTTCATTTTGTTGATAGAAGCATTCATCAGCAGTGGTGATAAATCGTGCAAGAGCTTTTGTTTATAGCATGCATGAAGAGAATAATGAAATTTACTGATACTAGCTAGGGAAAGGCCATAAAGAATATTTTCTGTGTGTAGACTAAAATGAGTGTTATAATATACATTAACCCTTTGCAACACTCCTTAAGGAAAGGATATTGTGAATATCCATTCTGTTCTCTGCAGAGTGAGAAGCAGGAAGCTATTTTATGGACTCCAAGATGACATACTTTACTTGTGAAACTACTCTTGCTGTTTAATATTTAATCAAGGATTTACTCATCTTATGTTTCTTAAGGGGTCTGGATATTCTAAAACGACCACCTATGGCAGGAGAGCGACCTTGGGACTGCTATAGAGCAACTTCAGTGATAAATGTGCCACTTGACTACATTTTGGCCTACATTTACGAATTGGATTTCAGAGGGGAGTGGGACGACATGTTCCTCAAAGGTATTCAATATCAGTTTCTTGTAAGCTGCCAAGACTGGTGTTGTACAACATTACAAACATGAGATTTTTTAACCTCATTTAACCCTTTAACTCCCAAAAGTGATCAACACATAACATCTCCCCATAATATCCATACATTATCCAGCAAAAAGGTAATGAGATTACTCAGACTTATCAGATAGAAGTTGTCATCTTGATCTAACACCACATTCTTCTAACTAATTTACAAGGAAATGTCTAGCAGCTGGAGGGGAGAATTAACATTCAGATATTGGGAGTTGAAAGGGTTGAACACCAGACCCAAAATTCAATGAAACAATGTTAATTGTCGTCCAATACCTGCTTGATAAAGCTTAATGGTACATCAGCTCAAGAAGTGGCTCTGCTTGGCTTATGTAAATGGTTGAGAATGAACTTACATTGCCTAATTTGAAGCGAAAAAGAAAGAGGATTCTACATCAGACCAAAAATGGCGGAAATCTATTTTTTTATTGGTGGTTGTAGCACTCAGCTGAGTTCTTTGATGCTTCATATCCTCAGGCTCTTAGCCTGTGGTGAAGGTGCAGTTTTGCTAAGAAAGCACAGAGTGTTTCTTTGAAAAATGTTCAGCTGCCATCTTTTAATTTTAATGTTGAGGGAGATGGGGGGAAACAAAGACTTAAACACAACAAGCTTGTAATGCTTACTTGCCCTCTCCAACAAAAATTCCTGCACTACAGACTGACATGCTCCAGTTTGGATTAAAGTCAAAAGGTGCTACCTGATCTTTTCCCCTTTTTTTACCTCTTGTTGCCTAAGTCTTGTAGCCAAAATCATTACTTTAAGTGTTCCACATTAACCTATCACTAGCCAAAAACCAGATTTTCACTGTCCTTGCATTGTTCAAATAGTACATTCATCTTATAAATGAGACCTCACTTTACTCTGCTGTTGACTTCTGCACTAAATATGAAATGTCTTAAAAAAGGAAAAACAAACAACAACCAAATCGAGTCGGAATCAATTGTAAACAAGCTGTGATAGAATCACCTAGGTTCTAAAGTTTCTCAGGTAGAAAAAATCGTGCATTCCCTTGCAATCAGCATCAGTTGGGCTAATTAGTCTAGGGTAATGCATTCAGATGCCTTCATTAGCTTTCCTTTGGTTTGAATAAATGATAGTGCAGATCTAAAGCGAATGATAAGCTCCTATTAGGATCCTCTTCCAGCCTATTTACTTCCAGCTCTCTGATGATAAAATCTTCTCCATAAATTTCATTCCTAAGCTCTTCAGAAATACAGGCTGGTGGCCTCATTCCTCGGTCAACTTCATAGTAATGGCTTTCTAACATGTAGTTTCCATCGCTAGCAAGAAGTGAACGCATCTTTTTCGTGTATCGTTTGCCATTATCGTTGAATGCAGGAGCAACAGCAGACAAAGATCCGCGGTCCCAAATAGCGTCAAATCTGCCACCGACATCATCTTCCGTGACACTGAACAGATTACAGCAAAAGATTGTGATATCCTTTTCGTTGCACTTGTACTTGTCCACAGGTTCGCTTTCCGCGGCCATTTTAACGATTTCCACGGTGAAACTCAGATTATTTTCTAAGAAAAAATTTTCTATTGCTTTTTTAGCAACCTCTACCCCTATTACAGCGTGTCCTTGGTCGGCTAACCACAACATATCGACTGACTTGCCGCAGAGAGGCACGAATACACGCACTTTCGCTCTTCCACCAGTGAGCTCGTCAACATACTTAATTAGATATGCGTTTACTTCTTGCCGATGCCAGCCAGTATTCCCTTCCTTCCAACGATCGGTCCAAAATTCAGCTGTAGTTGAATCCTTTTCTTCAGACATTCTTCTACAGTTCTGCTGCTCCGGTGTTATCCGGTTTTATTTGATTTCACGAGGAAATGGGGAGTTACTACGTCTCGGGCGACGAGTGGGGGAAGAAGAAAAGACCGAAATACGAGTGGTCAGCGGGGCAGATTTAATACTTCATATAGAGACATATCAGTTATAGTTCAGTGTTGTAAAGTCGAACCTAGCTCTGAAACACTACTCCGTCTGGCCGAACTAGTACTCACGCTCAATTGCTTTTCATTCGGTGATAACTACTACAAACAAACTAATGGCGTGGCCATGGGTACTGAAGTGGGACCCAGCTACGCCAATCTTTTCGTAGGTTTTATCGCACATCAATTTTTGTCAATACCACGGCCTAAAACCTGAACTCTACGGCCGTTATATTGACGATTGCATCGGCGCTACCTCCTCTACCAGAGAGGAGCTCACTCAATTTATAACCGCCGTCAATTCCTTTCATCCGGCTCCTAAATATACCTGGGAAATTTCCGACACTTCTTTGGCTTTTCTAGACATCAAAATTTCAATTGAAGGCAACGGTTTATGCACTAGTGTTTACTACAAACTTACAGATTCACATAGTTACTTGTTTTATTCATCTTCACATCCATCACACGTCAAGAACTCCATACCTTTTTCACAGTTTTTCAGACTTCGTCGTGTATGTAGTGACGACTCTGATTTTTCTGAAAAATCAGAGGCAATGTGCCAGTTTTTCGATAAACGCGGCTATCCTGTTTCTGTCGTTCAAGCGGGCCACCAGCGTGCCCAACAAATTGATCGACAGTCAGTACTACAAACGACTGAGAAGGAAAACACTGACCGCATTCCATTTACTCTTACATTTCACCCTCACAGCGACGCAGTTAGATCTATCATTCTTAAAAATTTTAAATTACTCCAAAACGATTCAGAGACTGGCACTATCTTTTCGCAACCCCCACTTATTTCATTCAAACGTGACAAAAACATAGGCAACTTTTTAGTCAGGAGTTCATTTCAAACCAATGACCAATCTGGAACTTTCAAATGCGCTTGCTCACGATGCAAAACTTGTTCTTTCATTCATAACGTGGAGAAAATATCGAGACCCAAGAGATCCATTAAGATCACTGATCACAGTTTACGTGTACCTCCACCGATGTTATTTACCGCATAACTTGCACTTATTGCAATAAGTTATACATCGGCGAAACAGGAAGACGACTGGGTGACCGATTCCGAGAACACCTTCGCGACGTGGAAAGAAATGACAAGGACGCATCCAAACCAGTCGCTAGACACTTTCATCTCCCTAATCATTCTAAATAGCATATGGCAGTCTGCGGCCTTTCCTTACATCTAGGCAGTTCGGAAAGTCGCAGAACAAAAATTTATCTTCCAAATCGACACCCTTAACTCCTACGGAATCAACGAACGCTTTTCATTCAACTTATTTATTCCTGTTTTTCTCGTCACAATATTTCCACCCATGGCGTAGCTCCACTTTCTGCATATAAACCCAAGCACAACCCACAATTCCCACGATCGCTCTGAAGAAGGGCTAACGCTCGAAACGTCAGCTTTTTTTTACCCTTTACGGTGGATATACCTTTCGTAGAGACGTGGGGGGGGGGGGGAAACAGACACCAACACAACATTTCACCTGCCGTTCGGTTCGAAAGTTAAGTTTTCATCCCGAGTTCATTTGTTAAATTAAATATGAAAAAAACACTTCGAACGGAAAACAGAATTATTTTAACGTCTGGATCTTTTGAAAAAAGATCTCCTAAACGAGTGGCCCTGATTATAAGTATTTAAGCATGGTAAACACACATATGTTAGCCTTAACTTGGCTGTTTCTCGAAGCTCAGTGTTTCCTACATGCCTTTTTCACGTGAAATTAAACGCGACTTGAATATATATAATAAACACTAAAAGAACAACAGCTGATGGAAATTTTAAATTTCATATCTAAAGGCTGTGGTTGCAAACTTATTAATGACTCTAAAAATATAAAAATCTAGAACGAAATTTTTTTGGAGTTGCTTAGCTTTTCATTTTTCCGGAATCGAAAGTCGAGATTGCAAAATTGAAGTGAAAAGCAAACCGACTGTGATTAACGCCTTTAGTCAAAATACTATTTTCGTCATACAACACTGGGAGTTACATATCGTAAATATCATTCTTCTTGATGCCTTTCCCGGTGTCACCGATGCCTTTCCCGATGCCTCCATTGATTAATATAGCAGTAAAAATGTTGCTCCAGTCAAAGCGTTTGGAAAATTGCTTAACTTTTTAAGAATCGAAGTATAACCTGGTAACATTTTGGCTTTACAACACGATTGTTTTTTTGCAAGTTACAAAACGTAAATATAATTCTTCTTGGTGTTTTTTCCGAATGCCACCGATGCCTTTTCCGATGCCTCCATTGTTTTATGCAGCAGTAAAAGATATATGTGCCATTCACACTCTTGAAAAATTGCTTAACATTTATTTAGCTGAGTATACTCCTAACATTTCGGCTTTACATCACTATTGTTTTCTGCAACTATAACTGATATGTCTCTATATGAAATATTAAATTTGTTTCTCCGCTGACCACATGTATTTCTTTCTTTTCTTCTTCCCCCGCTCGTCGCCCGTGATGTAGTAACTCCCGAGGAAATGTTCCGTCGTTACGTAATGGCGACGACTTGGTAACCACGCATTTTAGAGTACCCCAGCAAGAATTCGGTCCCAGGCATTTTCGGTGTCTGCTGTCAATTTTGCCTCACCTCATATGCCACTGGCTGGCATTTTACCTTCGGTCATCTTGAGACTTAACCCCATCTCATATTGGAGAACGATTGTTGGTTTAATTTGTGTTAGTACAACTGCTCTGGTGATTATAAAGGTGTGCGCGCTCTGATTGTTCGAGGATTCCCTCGTAGACGATACCATAACCGTTAAATTAAGAATCGGTTCATGCCAAGCGTGATTATATATCGAGTTATGGATGGATGAGTGATAGGAAATTTGGAGAGATTCTAGTGGTAACTGGCTGCCATTCTTGATAGAAGTAATCAAAATAATTGTAATGAAAGACACACAAAGTTTTTTTTATTTACAGAACAGTTTCGACAGCAGAATGAATTTACCATAGAATTCGAAAGCACCGGAGCAATTATATTACGACAATTGTTTACCTTCGAATTCGGCGAATAATCGTGAAATAATCTGATGTATTACTTTTACAGGCGAAACTGTGGAAGAAATTGATCCTATTACAAAGGTAAGTTTCGGTTAAGATGATCTTTGCAAGTATCACTCATTTTTTTTAGCGTCACGCAATGGTATGCTGAAAAAATACAAACCTTTGGAAAGAAGCGCAGGACAACAACTTGCAAATCATGCTTTTTATTCGTTAAGTGAAGTGAATTAGATATGAATGTTTTTATATTAACGCGAAATTTTGCCTCGATCCTCACAACTTTTCGTCATTCTTTCAGGTCAACCGACTGGAGTACAAACCACAATGGCCAGCTAGCGGTCGGGACTTCTGTGTCATAGCTATTCTCCGAGAGATTGATGAAGGCGTAATTGCCTTGGCTTCTGAGGCGGTGTGTGCTTTAAGCGTTATTTTTTTACGTTTTATCAGCTAAATGAAACTCTTTTTGTGGGAGACACGGCAGCTTAGTGTTAAACATGCTGAAAGGCGGAACGATTGATTCGTGTACATTGTTTTATGTACTTGGACAAGACACCTAACTGTTATAGTGACCCTCTGACTCCCACGTGGTTATGAATAGGTATCCGTGCACTGAGCGAGATATCCAGTAAATCCCTATAAGGTAGTCTATAATGGGTGGGTGGTCGTGGGAGACGCCGCCGGTGGCTGGACTTCAGGTCGAAAGGGTCTGGGAACGAAATCTGGCCGGGTCTCTGTGTTGTGTTCCTGGGCAGAAAATTTCACTTTAACTTGCCACTCTCATACCAAGAAGTAGAATGGTACCAGCGAACGGCAGGAAAACCCGATGAAAAGATAAGGGTGGGGTGGGGGAAGTTGGGGGGGGGGGTAACCCTGGGATGAACTAGCGTCTCTTGTGCTTTTCTCCTCCTTTGGAGTTGTTAACTTGAAATAATTTTTTTTAATGTTAAAAAGGCGGAGACATTTCAGATAGCTTACAGGGGAAAGGAAATAGAGCTACAGAGCTTGTGAATGCTAAAACTTGCACGCGGGCCTTGTAACCAGTACCTGTGTATAGATGGTCGCGAATAGAAATGTAAAAGCTAGTGCACAGCTTTTTAGGCCATAAATGACATAATTTCTCTGTAATGTTCGCAGGTAGAGCATGAGAGGTGTCCAGAAAAGAAAGGAATTGTTAGGTATATAATAACTTATAACTTTTAATACAAGGCCCGATGTCTTGTCCGTCTCTGTCACCGACAGGGCTTTTCAGGACAATAGTCCATTTTACAATTGTGTACTTGGTTGCCAAGCCTTTGAATAGGAGTGAGGCTAAGGGTGACCTTGTTATGATACAAACCTTGCTGCTTTTCAAATGTAAATTACTTTGTTATCATGCTAACTAGATACTGGTCTCTATCTCAACAAGGTCACCTTCAGCCTCACTCCAAATCAAGGCTTGGCGACTAAGTGCACAACTGTAAAATGGCCCATTCTCACTCGGTCGATCAGACAGTTAAAGCACCAAGCATTACAAAGGTGTACAGTGGGGCCCTCCTTTTTGAGTGAATGCAATTCATAGCAAGTTACTGCGTTTGTGTCTGTTGTTCTATCCTTGTCGTGATGAAGGATAGTAAACAGTGAAGATTTTTCCGAGAGACAGAGAAGTGTCCTTAATCTGTTTCACTTCTCGAGTACAATAGTCGTCTTACTCCTCCTTTGCTTGGCCCTCTTGCTCTATATTACGGAAGAAAAGATTGCTAGAAGTCGAATGTTGATCGTGCTAACTCGTGCGATTGTGCGCCAAAACTCCCTCCAAAGTCGTCTTGCTAGTAGAGACATGCCTGGCTCTGAGAGGAAGGCGCCCGGTCTTC